AATAAAAATGTATTTTTCTCCACATCTTCCATTGGCCTGGATTCAGCAATACTGACAGCCCTAAACTGACTTGCTGCCGGTCACAATGATGCACATACACACACACACACACAAGGCGGACGCTTTGTCCATCATCGTTTGCTCCTTTGTAAATAAGCTAGATCCACAGCTTTTTGCCCCCAACCTACAGCAAAGGGAATACAAGGATCACGGATGCAATGATGATATAAAACAAGCCCTGTTATAAACAGAAAATGATGCAAGTGGGATGCATTTACTTACATGAAGATTCAGTGCCAAACATGGCTGGCCCCAGATGCTGCTATTTAAAAACAGGAAAAAAAGGAAAAAGAGTGAAAGATAGAGGGAGTGTTTGAGAGCAGGGATGAGACTGCTACACAGCAGGGGTCATGAAGCCAGACAATGCAGTCCAAGCTATCCAAGCTGCCAGATTCTTCTCTCCTAAGCTTCACGTTGCAGATAGCTTTGTCCCTGTAGCCAAAGCAAAGGTCTTCTTTCAGGAAGCAAAAGTCAGGAGCTGCTGTTTTAAAATCCAAGAGATAAGGAAAGGGCCAGTTCCCTTCTGTAATGCAGTGAGGCAGAAATAGGTAGCAGACACTAGATACTGCAATCCACAGACAGCTCCTGCTCTCAGTAAGACAATAGCATAGCTTATGCATACACTGGATGACGTCAGGACACTGCAAAGACTGACTGCTGTTAACCAGAGGCTCAGAGGGGGCTTGGATACAGCAGAGCAATTCAAATGGGAATTCCTTTGTCACAAAATGCAGAAGACAAAGACCCAGGCGTATATTTTCCTCCCCGATGATTAAAAAAAAAAAAACAATCCCAAAAAACCTCAATGCTTTAACTCTAGCATGAAAATAGCTGTACTGGATTTACAATGATTTCTAAAGTGCATACACTCGGAAGCCTTTCATTGCAAACACATCATATAGAATAGATGAAAGATTCCTGGGACATATGTCTGGGCAGATACCTCTTATGGTACTTTGGCACTTTCAGAAAAAGAATAATTACCTGCTTCCTTTTGTAATAAATTATCTAAATGCCTCCCCCCCCACCCCCGTCCATCCCCGCCCCCACTCCATCCCCTCAGCAAAAGGATCAAAATCCTGAGCCAACCTAAGCTTAAAATTTTGATGCATGAGTGGTGATCAAGTGTTCAATAATTTTGTGTGTTCAATAATTTTACTAATGTCCTGCTACTCTGCACCAGTGATCTAGCTATAATTCAAAAGTCACATTTATAATAAACATGAGAAACAAAAATTACATTCCTCTCAGAGATGCAAAGCCTTCATAGCAACAAAAGGAAAATGTTTTCTTCCCTATCAATTTCACTTCATTCATTCCAACTATACAGATTCCGCATTTACTAACCTGCACAAAATTTAGAATGACTGCTTTCGGGGACTCTGCAATTAGAAATGCTAATATAAAAGCAAACATAAAACAGAGACTTAAGCTGACTGTTGCAGTTCTTACAGCAAACAAAATGAATTCTCAGAAGCCAAGCTGAAGCCCTGTGCTAGCAAGCGCAGTGAAGCAGTAAGTTGACACTACCTCGTCCATATTAGGGATTCCTCTCTATGAATGGCTATCTGGAGGGGTAAGGAAGAAAACTGGCTCTCTCTCTGAGCACCAACATGCAGCAGCCAACATAGAAATAACTGGAAGATGATGCCAATGGAAAAGAAGAAAGGAAATACAAGTGCACCCACTGAGCAAAGCACTTAAAGATGATAAAATAGTTTTTACACTTTTGTAGATTAAATGTTACTTAATATTCCCTCAGCATTGTTTACTAAATACTCTCAGGCTCTTTGCAAAATACAAAATATCAGTAGGATGGAAAAAAAAAAAGTTAAGAATACAACAGTAACATTTTCATTTACACAACCTTCCATAGAGGATTTCAACTTGCTTAAAAAAACAAAAATATCATCGTGCCAATTTTAGCTTTGCCACAAGCCTTAGGTCCGAAAGAGAATTGTTCCTCTTTCACAGCCCGTCCTAAGAGCAGATATTTTCTGTTTCCCTGCTTAGCACCCCAGAAGAATATTTTCCTTTGTTTAAATCTGCCTGTAGAACATAGCTTTTCCATCCACACTTTTAATAAAGTGGCTGGGGAACAAGATATTACAATGTTGTAAAGAAGTCACTTACTGTTTAGTCTTTTTTTTTTGCAAAAGAAAAAAAAGAACACAAGCAGAATATTGTTAAGTGCTAACTAAATGGGTGCAGATCTCAGGATACACTTTAAACTAACTCACTTCAACAGAAATCTTATTAGGTCTTCTGGCTAAGGTAACATTTCATTTTGAATCTGGTGTGTCTGCTCCACAGGAGAAATTGTGGGAAAAGGAAAACTATCCAGAAACTGTGAGGTTCCTCTGCTATGGCATCTTCTCTTCTCTGCTTTGCAGATCAGTAAGGAAAACTGACTGCACAGATCCTAAGGATCTTCAGCCACCTCTGGGGTTAGCTTTCACTCAACCGTGAAAGTTAGAATCCAATCCATGCTCTTTATTGGTATGAAAGGTTCTCTCAGGAGTCTTGCTACTCTTGATTCTTCCTCAGTGACTGTGCACTAATCCCAGGGTTTGAAATACAGTGGAGGCTGGGGGGGGCTGAGCCCCCACCAGAAGAGACACACACACCCAGGCCCACTCCACACCTTCCTAAGCAGCTCGGGTGGCGGCAGCATCTCCTCCCAGGTGCTGGCTGCCACCACTGCAGACTCCACCCCAAAGTCAGAGTGTAATTCAAACCCTGAATAATCCCTAAAACCAAGAGGTTGAGGAACTAAGGAGGGGAGCACATTTATTTCTAGTAATGTTATTTCCCAACTAGAAATGTAATTATATGTTGAAAACACCAAATCATTTCTATTTCCCTGGACTGCCCAATTCCCAACTGACAAGACAGATGGGAACTCGGTCTTGTTCCCGGGATGGGAAGATGGGAAGAGACAGGCTTCCAAGGCTACCTTGAATCAGCTAGCTGTGCCTTTGATCAGGATACACTCAACAACCCAAACCTGACAAAAGTTACAGCAATCAGTGTGAAGGGAAAACACCTGTTCACGCCTTAGCCCAGCAGAACTGCCATGAATACCGGCCAGGTAACTCACCGCAGTTCCTGGGATGGGAAGATGGGAACTTCCCTGTCGCAGATGCCAGGCAGTCCGAGAAGTCCTGGAAGCACGGGAAGTTAGAAAATTGGCTGTCTACTAAATAGGCAGCTGGGAAGCCAGACAGCCCTGGAGCTCGGGAGCTGTCTGGGCTTGTAAGGAGGCTGCAGATACTCAAGGGTTCTTGAACTCCCCTAAAACTGACAGAATTCATGCCTTCTTTGTAATCAAACTCCTTTCAGCTTTGGCTAAGCCTTTTTTTTTCCCTAAAAAGTATTCCTTCTCTGTGAATACAGATTTCCTTACCTTTATGTCATTTACAAAGACTGAAAAGATGTATAGGAGGTGTCAGCAGGCACACCATCTAGGTGCTTATCTAGTTCAGCACACACAGATATTCTTTGGACTAGCCTGATTTACTGACTGTAGGACTATTTTTTCCCCGGTGCTCGTTCCTACACTGAAGGCTGAAATACTGCTAGGCACCCCTTATGTGGCATAAGATGTGATGTGGCTGACTGAGACCGTGTTTCTGTTGCTGCATTTAGTTTCAACCTGCTAGTCCACAAAGGGGAATTTAAAGCAGGTTAACTTCTGGGGGGGGGTGTTCAGGCCTAGTGATGAATTCATCCAAGAGCATCTGAATAAAGCTAAGTAGCAGCAGTATTTAAGCAGACTGTGCTCTGAAGCACTCACTCTGGTTCAGGGGACTGATTCTGCGGGGAGTTACCCAGCCGGTATTCGTAGCAGTTCTGTGGGGTTAAGGTGTAAACAGGTTTTCCCCTCACACTGATTACTGCAACCCTGCCACGTTTGGGTTGTTGAGTGTACCATGGTCGGAGACACAGTGAGTGGTTCCAGCAGCTGAGATAGCAGGGGGTGGAGGAATGTAGACCGCTATAGACAGGTGTGCGGAAGAGAGGAATACCTTACCTGCCCGAGATCTCTGCACACTGCAAGTGATGGCTCCCTGGGAGCTGCATCTGGTACCCTATTCCAGGGGTGGCCAGAGTTACTCACCCTGGGAGCTACATCCAATCCTGGAGAGCAGAAAGCTGGACAGCGAGGCAAGGGGAGGACGGATGGACGCAAAGTGTAGGTCCCCCCCGCAACTGCCAAGCTGCTCTGGCTTTCCCCGCGAGATGCCCTGCCCCTGGCAGCCCACTGTTCCCCTGAGCCACCTCGGAGAGAAGTGGGCAGGGCTTCAGTGGAGAAGCCCCAGAGAGTCACAAGAACTGTGCCGGCAAGTCGCATGCAGCTCACAAGCCACAGTTTAGCCACCGCTGCCCTATTCTCTCCCCTCCAACCCAGATATGCTATAGACCACAGGGCTGCACCTGCTTAACAAATACCCGCTTGGAGGGATTCTGGTATCTCCTCAGTCAGCTCCTGGGACTGGTGTCTTGCAACCTCCCCTTTCCCCCCACAAAATGCTATTGATGCTGGTAACAGTTGTGTTATTTGGGATTTGGCACCTGGATTGGGGATAAAATATGTTGCCAAGTTTGGCCAGCCATCTTTTTTGTGTTAATGAGACTTTGGCCAACAAGGGCATATTACAATTGACTCAGGTTTCATGAAAGTGTAACTGTTTATGTAATATGGCATTATTCTTCAGGAGTTTTTAGCCAATTACAGCCTAGAAAAAATATTATTTTCTATGCAAAATAAACTACATTGAGGACTCAGGAAATATTGTTTTATGGCAGTGAATAATCAGAAAAATGACAAAGGAGTCTATGGAAAAGGAAATTAAAATTTGTCTTTAGATCTGATAGGACTTATTGCAGAGGAAAGAAGTAAAATACAACAATATAGCCCCTGACCCTTAGTTATGTACCTTGGGCCTGTGATCCAATCTTCTCATTTCTTGGTAATAAGGATCATCAATTATAAAGGGTAAGACAAAACAATCTGTCAAGTTAATTTCTTCCTACCCTGCAAAAAAAATAATTTTTGTTAATAATTTTAGGTATTAGCTACAGTTGTACTATATATTTAAGCTTACCACATATAAACAAGCATACATTAAGTAATTGATATAGTTTACCTAACCGCACTCTACACTATGACTAGACAACTCTATCCTGTTTGCTTGTTTGTCTTGCTCCAGGATTTTGAATTTGGGTTTTGTGGTTGCCACTCTATTGAGGCAGACATCTATTTGCTCTGCAGTGGGAGAATGAGGGCAGCCTGGAACTGCCCACGCTCTCCAGCCACTTCAGGTAGGTGTTCCAGGACCCTGAGTGGCCGGATCTTGGACACCCTGGGGAGATGCACACTGGATCACAGCCCTCAAAAGCCCCAGAGTACCTTCCTGGCTTTCCCTGCTTCCAGAGATGCACACTGGGGAATATCAGGGTGCCTCTCTGTAAGCAGGGAAAGTCAGGATTTCCAGGGCACATCTCCATAAGCTGGAAAAGCCCACACTGGTCCCGATGTGCAGGCACAGGACCTGGGAAATCCCCAATGCCCCATTCCTCCACACCAGGACCCGCACAGCACGGTGCCTCCATGATGAGACCAGCACTGACCTATGCCTCTGTATGAAGTGCAGGTTGGTGCAGGACCCAGTGCTAGTCCCAGTGTGGAGGCATAAAGCACTGGAGATTCCCTGGTTCCCACACTGCCCTGAACTTCTGTGCCACTCCATGCCTCCATGCGAGGTATAGGTTGGCACAGGGCAGTAACGGACATGGGGGATCCCCAGGTTCTTTGACATCCCACCATAGCTGAGCTACTTTGTTTGGCAATATTCATTTCTACAAGATGGGCAGGTCTACACATGCTATTAATGCACTGAAAGCTTACTGTGCTGTAAAATACTATGTAGTAAGCTTTACCTGGGAGCACATTTACACATATGCTTATTGGGAGCAAATTTGCACCTGATGGGAGCAGTTCAGTGCAGGAAGCTGCCTGCTGGCCAACCCCTGATCAGACTGGAGGCTGGGGCATCATCCCCTGCCCTAGCAGCTAGCTCAGGGGCAGGCAATTATTTTGGGCAGAGGGCCGCTTACAGAGTTTTGGCAGGCGGTTGAGGGCCACATGATAGGCAGCCACGGGCAGATAAATATTAATTTTCTAAATTTTTTAGGGGCCCCACAAGCCAGATAGAATGGCCTCGCAGGCCGCATCCAGCCCCCGGGCTGCATTTTGCCCCCCCCTGAGCTAGCTGCTGCTGGGTCCCTACTCTGAAATTGGAGCTAGGGATGGGACATTATCCTTTGCCCCAGCAGCTGCTTGATCTTGGGGGCCTCAGCTCCAATCTCAGAGTGGGGGCTTGGACATCGATGTCCCAGCTCCCACTCCACAAATGGAGCCAGGGCCTGGCATTAGGCAGCTGTCGGGGCAAGGGACAATGTCCCAGCCCCAACTTCAACTGGCCAGTCAGAACAGGGGCTGGGAAGCAAGCAGTTTACCTGGGGAGGAAACAGTTCTGCCTCCTGCTGCCTGGGCTGACAAGGAGCAATTTGCTTCTGGTCAACTGTCTACACAGTAAAGTGTCTCATGTAGAAGCACCCTGTATGACTGAATGGGGAGAAAAAAGCATAGTTCTCTCAGATGAAAATGTTTTTAATAGGTGGTATTGTGGTACATGTAATGCTTTGTAATGAGAGCTTAAAGGAAATGATACGTGCCTTTGGATGTGATCATTAAGCATACTGCTGTGGAAGTATTTACATACATTGTTAGCCGTGATCCATTTAAAATACACTTTGCTTTACCATTTCATATAAAGAAAATATCTTAATTTAATATTTTATTTTGTTTGATTCTGTTTTAATTTCTGTGCATTACAAAATAAGGCCATTCCCACATGATCAAGACCAAGTGAGGAACTGACTATATGAAGTATTTGTAAGGAAGTCTCAAATCCAAGCATGAACAGAAGGTGCCCAAAAGCTTACATGATCAGGAACAAAGATAGTCACTAAGGAAAACAAACAACTATGATTGTACTAAAACAGAGCTAAATTCATATCTATTACAATATCACCTATGGACCATAGACATTAGGGCTCACTCAAGCTAAACAAACACTCTGTAGTCTGATAGCATAAAGATACAGAATCCCCAAAGCAGAAAGCATAAAAATACCAATTTAGAAACATAATAAACACTGGATTGTAAAATAACTTAGAACTGTATTAGATAGTCTGAATATTGTATTCCGCTAAAGAGATCCACATCAGTCGTGTTAGCTGATTCACTACCAAATCTTTATAGTTAAAGCTCACTCATTTGTTGAAAGATGCATAAAATTCAAATTATTTTTCATTTCAGGCAAACCTGAAGAGGCCTGTCAAAGCTAGTAGTACAAATAGCAGTGATTTCATCACACAGCTAAGGAAAATTTAAGAAAGTATCAACACAGGCAGCGTCAACACCACAAATGTGCTGTCTTTTCTTAGAAGGAAGGTGTCTCCTAAGCTTTGATATTAAATTCTAACCACTGACCCTTTCCTGCACCCTGATCCTGTAATCTGATCTATACTGGGAGTCCCTTTTGCTCACATGGCATTCCACTGAAGTCAATGTGTGGGCTCTCCATAGGCACAGAAGTCCATCAACATTGCTCAGATTGCAGGATCCAGCCCAGTCCCTTTCCAGAGAACGTGGGCAAAGCAGTGTCATTTCTATCAGACTGCAGTAGCAGTTTCCAAACTCCATACTCAAGGTGTTTAAAAGTAAAAGTCTTACTGACTTTTAGTGGGACTGTACTTCTAAATTCTTTAAACACTTTTTAAAATTTTCACCTAAGTTGACTGCAAAAACTTGGGAGGATCTAGTTATATTGCAGAATGCTTCATCACAAAGAAAAAGAAAAGGTACAATTCCCAAACCCAAATCTGCTTGAGAACAACGTTTCAGAACTAATCTAAATTTTTCTCATGGAACCTAGAAGTTCAGTCTCTTTCACAGCCAGTGCACGCTTTGTTTTCTCAGCCTCTTCAGGGTTACTAACACCTCCTTTTGGAGTTTTGAGATCTTTCAGCTAAGTGGTAAGAAATTGGATTATTACAAGCAATGACATTTAGCCTAGTCTAAAACCAGCTTAATATTAAAATTAAGTTCTCTTCCCAGGCAAACCAATTGACAACATATGTTGTGGTTATGTTGGAGTGATGTCACTGTGGTGGTCCAGGAAATGTGAGAGAAAGGCAATGGTTTTTATGGGCAATAACTTCTATTGAACCAACAACATATATTGTTACTTTAAAATTTAGTTAGAGCAACTTATCTTAATTAAGATCATTTAGCAATGCTACAATTAATCCTGGGACAACGAAGCAGACACACATACAAAGGAAGGATAAAAATGGAGAAATAAAAAAGAGACGGAACAATCTTTAGATGAGGATGTTATGTTATAAAAAAATTAAGACAAATTAATCAGAAATGTATACATTATAACCAACAAATATAGTCACCTGTCTGGGTCAACTGATTTTCATCCTCCCTTTTAAAGGACTAGCATGAAGGACTGCTATGTTTTTGTTCACAGCAAAGTTCCCAAGTGCCATCTTTAAATCAATATCTCCTTTCCAAATAAGTATGGAACAAACTTGCTGTTATAAATTCACAACTACAAGACCCAGTTTCTTTACAGAGAATGAAAAAAGAATACATAAACAGCATTACTGGCCAAAACAAAGCATTAAGCAAGGCACCATTTGCCCTTTATACACCTGGTTGATAACTGTGACCCTGCACATCCTATAGGCCACTCTACCTGCATTCAACCACAGCAGAAAGGAAGAGGTAGCAGGCTGCAGATAAACACCACTGACACACAGGTAAAGTTAGTTTCTGATATTTCAGAGGACAAGATAAAACCAGAATAGTCATCCATAATAAAATGAAAAAAACTGAAATTACAGAAAATAACATGGGAAGTAAATATTATCACCAATAGGTTTAAATTCCTGAGAATTTTAAAGGGTAGGTAGATAAAAAATATTTTGAAATCAAGTACAGGAACTATTGCATCTACCTCTGACATACTGGGTACTGGCTACTTCTGGAGCCAGAACACTGCACAAAATTTACTGCTTTCATGTAGCATTGCACTTCCTAGACTTCCAAATAAGTTTTGGAAATGAACTCTTGACTTCTACAATTTTTGTTTGCTTATTAGAAGATAAGGAAAATGGGAAAAGAAAGTATTTTAATGAGCAAAGGAAATGTGACACTAGAGGTCCACCTGTGAACAAAGAACTTTCTCTGGGTTTTAATGCAGTCTTTGCTGTGTCATATTCCAATCCAACTCCCAGTGAACTCAATTAATTTCACTGTACGCTAACTGCACAAACAAAATGCATCTTATTTTCAATGTATATTTGTGCCACAAGAGTTTAAATTACTCTTTGGAGCTCTCTTAATGTGCCCCTTAAAATACATTTTATGAAAAAACAGTCCACTTAATACCAACCTTGTCTGTTATGATTTTACTTGCATATGCAAATATAACTCCTTTTAAAACCTTCATGTGACTGTGCAAGCCTGGCTGGAACTGTAATCTGAGGAGCAGGAACTGATGAAAAAGCAATAGCACTGGTAATCAAAACACAAGTTACCATAAAGTCACAAGCAGCAAATGGACTAGAAGTAAGCGTCATGCAGGTTGGGCACCAGGAAGGCTCAAGGTGTAAGGTGATTGCAGAGGTGCCCTGTGTTCTTTTCTAGTTCAAGTCATGGCTTATAGACATCAACAAAGAACTTCCCCCAAACTAGCCTGAGTTTCACAGGAATTTTCCCACAGCAAGGATAACATTCATCACTCTGTACAAGGAACAGTATTGCATTGTAACGTCTTTGTGGGCCTAGTAAATGAGAAACTAAATTGACCACAGCAGTACTCAGACCCTAAACACCCCCCCTGCTGAAGTGGTAAACGTGCTGATATATTGTAGATAATGTCTTTTGCTCAGTGC